TTAATCAACATATGCTCACTAATGACTGGAGTTCTAGTGAGAAGTAGTGATCACTGGAGTTCAACCAGGTCACTTGTGAGATAGTAACTCACTGAAGACAATGGTGGATGTGTCGCTCAATTTCATGGATTAGTTGAAGTTAGACATTAACACCGTTGGATGCCGGCTCAGTGGTCTAGTCGTTAAGTGCTCGCGCGCGAGAAACCAGTAGGTCCTGGGTTCGAACCTCACATATATTCATTTATTTATTATCGAAACAGTTAAATAAACCATATTTCATAAATGTCTGCCACGTCTTGAACCGGTGAAGAACATTTGTAGCCCAGGTGGATGATTTTAATGGAGTTTTGTTCAATGAGTTGGATGATTTGATCATGAAGCTTACTTGAAGTTGTGCTGCTGATGATGATGTCATTCAGAAGGACAATTAAAAGCTCAACGGTGAAACCATTAATCTCAGAGAACAAAACTCTATCAATATGTCTTGAACCTTCTGTTTTGAAATAGCTCTAATGGAACTATACATTACTTGATGTAAATAACAAAAATGCACTTATTTCAACTAGAGTAGCGGATAACAAATAATACATACACTTATGATTTGAAATTAATCACATTAACACAATGGGGACAAGAGTTGTATGATAATAATAGGGCTTATTCTTCAGTTGATATTGTTTACTTAAATCTTCCCATTGATGTTTAGGACTATGATTGATCAGTCTCTTATTAGTATATGTGCATACCGTACGTATTGCGTCGATATTGCTAGCCACTATCTATATTTGCTTATAATGCTTGTGAATTAAAGCAATATCGAGACAATACACATAGTCTGCACATATGCCAATAAAAAACTCATCAATTGCAATCCTAATCATCATTCAGAAGATTCAAGTAAACAGAACCAAGTGAATTTGAACTTCACTCCACTGCACAAACAAGTAGCTATTAGGACTTAGTAGCTATGTGGATAAAACAATGGCGTTTGAAGTGAATGGTATTGGATTCGAGTTCCAGAGTGAACACTAACTGTGAGATGCAGGTACATTCGGTTGACTCGTGTCCTGTATTCCACTTCTAACCACTATCCATTTTTGCTTATAGTGCTTATGATTGTTGGTAGTATTAGTATCAGTACATCAAAAACAGATATCTTTTAGCATTTAGTATTGGTCATTATAAGAGATATAAAGATAATTGACAAATCACTAATTCAATAATCAATTATTTACTTAGTATTTCATGAATTCATGACATGTCCAGACTTGTAGCCAAAAAAAAACTAATCATAATATCCTTTGTCATCTTCAACTTGTTTGAATTCATCCGTTACAATATTTCAATGTAACGTAAAAGATATTTAATTGAATGAATTGATTAGCCGATTATAACAGATTAAGGCAAACAGGAGAAACGAACTAATCATGTTTAAGACAATATATCTTAGAGTTTGGCGCGAAATTCATTCACTCATTCATTTGGCTGAATACCATTTTGGTATTATAGTTGATGTCAGCTTATGATGAAAACATCAAATCGAATCCGTCATCATAACATTCAATTGCAAATCTAAATTCTAATTCTTCACACTAATCTATAACTCTTATTTAATCCTCGTAAGTAGGTGAACATTCCTAAGTCATTTAAGAGTTAATCAAAGGTTGTCCACAAATTCATTCAAACCAAATTAACATCGATCTATGGAAGACTAGCACTAGTGTATAATCGTAAAGTAAATTTTGCTTAGACATAAATCTTACGAAGGTTACAGAGGAAAGCTCATGATGTAATATTATGTATCTGTAGTGACTCACATTTATCACGAGAACACGACTGGTTTAATAGAAACAATTATTATTATAACCAACTGTACCAGTGTTTGTTTTAACGTGCTTTTGTTTGACTGTGCTAATGACAGCTATATTTTGCTTCCTTTCTTTTACACACACTTTGATTGTAACTTCGCGCGAATTCGGTTACCTTCTGTAACCAAGGTTGTATCCTGGCACGATCTCGGTATCCTTTCGATGCCACGAGATCGCCAGCAAATATACACCTCGACTTGGTCCATTAACTGTCTTCTGATATTTGGCTTCTCGGGGATTTTATGGATCTATTTGGTTACGTCCAACCCTCGCCTTCTGATTCGCTTGGCACGTGTTTCTTGGTAGCGGTGTTCACAGTTAATCTCAACTCGACGCCACGCTACATATCCTTGATGAAATACCAATATGTTGTCAATGCTTTACTATATATCTACAACTAGTTTAGTTTCTGAAGATGAACAAACTTAACAGAATACATTGAATACCTAGTAAGCTATTATCTACTAAACAAACCATTTCACTCATTTTAACACTTTTAAACTTTGAATCTATTATTCCATTCACAAGTACTTCATTCAGAAGTCCATTTAAAGCTTATGACAATCTATTAAACAAAGTTATTTAATGAATGTTTGTTCACTAAAGTATTCATATTAACTTTGAACAATCGTTTAGTTTTTGCTAGGTATTAGTTTTGTGATTGACATTCCTATACTTGACCATTCATTTATCTAATAAACAGTTCATATTAAGAACAATACTTACACTAGTAGTTTTTTTGTCATATTAACCACGAATGGTGTTAGATCGAAATGCTACTTAACAGATCTAGAGAGTTCAAGAGACGAAATAAAGGAAGATGTGGAAAACATTGAGAAGAGCCTTCTAAAAATGTTTGTTCAGTTCTTTCCAGTTGCTATTCTCCTTTTCATGTCTGCTTCTATTTCCTGACATAGTGTGTTGTTCGTCCTTCCTCTTTGTTCGTTTTCATCCAAGATTCCAATTTAGCGCTTGCCTCGTGATGCAGTTTGGTGATTTCCCTAATATGTATCCTATCCACTTCCAGTATCTTTTCCTAATTTCCTTTTCAACTAGAGGCTGTTTTGTCCTCTCCCATAGTAGTCTGTTGCTGGTCGTATCTTATTATGAAGTAGGGAAAAGAATTTACGATAAGTCCTAAAGAACGAACGGCTATGAAAAAGACAGTCTTTATCTGTCTTGCATTTAACAGCGATGAAATTTAAGATAAAACTGATAAGAGGATTAAAACTGCGTTAAAAATAATTTCCTTTGAAACATAACGGTTTCCAGTACATGATGCTAAATGTCATTAAATCAATCAAAATTGATCATTCATGAGAGTAAGTACATAGAAAGAACTAAAATAATGATATTTGCAAGATTTCCTGAACATATTCCATTAAAAGAAATATTTTAAAGATAGCAAAGACTTCAGAAATACGATTACAGTAGCTTTCATTTGTCGTGTGGCATCGAGTCACGGTTGACTATGATCACACTACAGGAAGACTACATGCTAGTTAACCGATGAGATCCCCCGTAAGTGAAATATCAGAAGCAGTTGATGGCTGTAGTCGAGATGTATTCATTGGCGATCTCGTCGTATCGAGAGAATATCGAGATCGTGCCAAAGGAGTATAAGTGTGGTTACTGAGTGTAACCGAATTCGTGCAAGGTCACAAGCAACGGAAGAATGCATATCTTTAGTACAGTTAAACAAACAAGTACAGTAAAACAATCCCTGGTACAATTGGTTTTAATAATAATTGTTTCCATCAAAGCAATCTCGTTCTCTTGATAATATTAGGTCACTAAACATTAATGAGTTACTGAATGGATCTTTGAATTTTTTCAACCATTTATGATGATTAGGAGTATTTGAATTATAGTATGAACTAAGAATCCCAGAAATAACTTAATCGGATCAACAAGTACTAGATAACCACAAACGAATGTACTGTATTCAGAATTCGAAATCAAGCATTCAACAAGTACAAAAGTATCATTAGTTCATTCACACACCACACTGTTATACACAATCCATTTGCTTATGAGAATGATTAAGAATTATCTATATACACTTCTCCCAAATAATTGAACTCTTTTCACATTTGATTGTTAATATGATCCGTTTAAAATATCTTTGTCATACATCATGACTATTTGGTTATGTTAATTTTATTTTATTTATATCATGGACTGTTTACAATATACAACATTTTATAGTTGAATTCATGAGTTATAGATACTCATTACTGAAGAGTCTCTTACCAGGATGAAATGGCTATTCAGTACTTCCAAATTTATCATTATAGTCTTTATTATAGTGTTATTTATCTTGTGATATATAAATTATTAAAAGATCCAGGATGAAATTCTTATTGAAAATCAGTTAGATATGTTTAAATCATGAAATCAAGGCATCTTAAAGTTATTGTGTTATGTACTACTGATATCGATGGATGTAAGTAGTATATATCATCAGTCAAAAGTAAGAGGAACTCATCCATATGGCTTCATAATAGTCGACCTCTAGAGCCATGATAAAGATGCAAAAACTTTTTCAGCCTCGATCACATAGTTTCAATATTGTTTGTGTGCACTCCGATTGTTGAGTGCACAAAATGCCACTTGTGGATAAAGAGACGATACATATAGCCAAATCTATGTAGGCGTCTGTACGCTCTCTAATCATTCATATGTATTGATCATATATAGAATCATTTATTTGATTTACTCCACCAGCCAAGACTTATGAAGATCGTCTCAACACGATCGCTGAGTGCTTGATGGATATTGGACGTTTTGAAAAGGCTATTAAAATCAAGAGCTTACAATCTGAAATTTGTACACACAAATACAGTAAATCTCATATTGACATGGTGAAATAATTATAGTGGTGTGATTTTCGTTCGTTCGTTTTATTTTATATTATACATAAACAATCCACTGACACCCATTTATGACGTTAATTTACATTGCATTTCACATATTTGGCATCATTGTATGATTACTCAATTGTGAAACTAATTTTTCACTCTGATCTATTGTTTTGTGCTTATAAAATCAACCACTTCGTTACACAGTCTCATTTACAACATGAACGTTACCTACCAGACCAAATAGTTTGTATCTTTTTCCTAATGACTTATGTGTCGTTTCCAAATAGTTGAAATTACAGTAAGGTGGTTAGATGGTTTGATGCTAATGAAAAGCCACGAACAATAAAATGAATCCATTTTGTTGTAAATCTCATCTTTAACTGACTGATCTCAATTATTATCATCCTGAATGGTTATTTCCTTGTATTCAATCCTTAATCTAAGTCAGTTGTGGGCACAGGCTTCAGGATCCTGAGGGAACAAATGGCTTATGAACCAATAATTGGTAACAGGCTACCATGAGACTACATCTCCTTACGTTTTTCCACGACTATTTACTATCCATGAACTTCTTTCCACCCTAATAGCACGGTTTCAGAGAAGGTTACCTTTGTATAACTGAATTGCTGACCGCTGTAGGCGGATTAACAAACATCCTTGATCGTAGGGATAAAGTTAAAGTCATGTGCCTTGAATCCGCAAGAGCTTTTTATAGAGCCGACTATATATGTCTTATCGATAAGCTTAAACGTTTAGGTTATAAATCAACAACAATTGACTAGTTTATGTTGCATCAGAATAATGGATATTTTAAGATCAGGGTTGACTTCACCGTCGGGTTACGGAATGTCCTAATGGAGTCTCCTAGAGTTCAATACTAGGACCTCTACTTAATTTACAAAAAAGATTTTCCCCAGCAGATATCGTTAGACATATTACTTTTTGCTGGTGGTGTGGAACTCCGAAGAGAAATTTGTAATCAAGAGGATAAACTAGCACTTCAGGGGAATCTGAATCTACTTCGAAGTTTGACGAACAACAAACCTATTATTAACATTAAGAGATGATTAGTAGTCCATGTGGGACATGCTGCAGACTACGAATACAAATTAGGTGACTCCTTTCTAGAAGTATCCCAAGTTGAAAGAAGTCCAAGAGTGTTGTACCCTATGATTCGGAGTTCTACGCCAACTGCGACACAAAATCAGTCCGCTGACTAAAATTCAAGCCTTGTGAAGAGCATCTTTAATCACTGTACATTTGCTCATTGAGGCACAGGCGTCTTCAAGGTGGCATTCTAATGAATTGCAGCATTTTAAACACTTCCGACCATCCCTTTGAACACCTACCTAAGCTGAATCCCAACACGGACCTTAGAGATAACACCCAGAGACTGGAGGTACAACATTGCGGAGCAGACTGCAGACACACCTTCTAAGAGTAGTCAAGTGACAGGATTCGCTTCCGGATGAGCCAGTTCGAACGAATTCCAAGGAGTCCTTTGTGAGAAAATGTGCCACATTCTTATGGACTAAGGTCAGTACCTCACCATAATTTACCAATCTTTTTCTCTTTTATAGTTGAGCATAACTGAGTTTTTACTTGGAGACATCAGTGATATACTGCTACTAGATACGGAGGCCCGTTAAGCGAGAGCTTCTCTTACACCCGGAACAATTTCAGTGTTTGCCATCGCAGACTGAACGGTAAGCAGCAGTAGATAAATTTCCGTGAGAATCTTTTACATCGGACTGGATTCTTATCTTACCTTGTTATCTACTGGATTAAGTTACTGAATCTGTTGTAGTAATAAGGGAACACTGACTCTTTTATAGGTATTTTTATCTCCAAAGTACCCAAATTCTATTCCACATTAAGTTTCAAGTGATAAGTGTGTATGCATATTGAACTTGCGCTAACTGGTGATTCTTTTGTAATCATCTGCGCGCTAATTACCAGTTCCAAATATAATGTGTTCAGTTGTGCTCATCTAGTCCTACCCGCCTCAAACTGAACTATTTCGGGAATTCTTAGAACATTAATTTGAATACTTCTACTTATCACACGATAATAAACAGTTAATGTAACGTAATGTAGTTACATAATACACATTTGTGGTAAGCTATATCTTATACTACGTTACTGTGGGATCCAAACTACGGTTTGGATGTTGAAGAATAGCCTCCCGTGACTTTAGACACGCGCCCTTTCCCGTCGAAATCAGAACAAGTAATCGGGTAAATAGCGGTTCTATAATTCATAATAAATTTAATGTAAATCATTACCTAAACAAATATTATCACCCGGCTATTCAACCAATGATTGTTCAATCAATCAAATCTAAATTACAATAAATAAAGAAGTTGATAGAAGATGAGGAAAAATTACCAGTCACAACAAATGAACGTTATTCTATCCTGACTGGATAGATCACACACAACAGGAGGAACAAATCAATATGGCTACCGCCAAGAACAAGTGTCAAGTAAAACAACGCAGATGCAGTTCAGGAAGAAACACAAACTTAGTGAATGCATAATAAAAACAAAAACTATAACAAAAAATACAAATATTAACAATTCAAATGTAATCAAAAGTTAACAATGTACAACTAAGAAGATCAATAGGAACAAAGTACAAGTATATACATGGAGGGATTTTCACCAACACACAACACATTCAAAATGGATCTTACACCGGCCCCCAAAATCCCTCCATACCACACAAGCTACCTTGATGCCTACGGTCATGGTTCATTATATAACATATCACACCATAGGAACGAGTAGGACTTACAACAGTACGCCTACTCGACCTAACTACATCAATAACAACAAAGACTAATCCAAAGCTTCAAGGAGACCTGCTTCACCTGTTCTCTTGTGATCAACAATAACAGTCTTGGTATAGACCTAATCACTCTTCCCCAAATTACACCCATGCTGTTGGATGAGGACCTCGCTGACAATTCAATATTTATCTTCTGCTGATTCGACTGTTGCACAAACCTCCTTAATTCAGAATCCTCTCCCATGAAGCTTGACGCACTATCACTGTAAATCTCCGGAGGTTTCCTTCTTCTTCCAATAAAACGTAATAAGGCCATTATAAATGAACCAGTAATCAAACTATACATCAGTTCAATATGTACTGCCCATGTTTGCAAACAAGTAAACACATATCTATATCCTTTTTCTAATGACCTTCCTATGTGTCCTGGTTCTTTATGACAATGTCTAATTATCATTTCCGTCACTAAGTGTCGACTGGGTAAAATTACTGGATGTTCAAAAGCATTTAATAATTCTGAGTAGCTTAGACGACCTGTAACACAGAGTAACCCATCAAGCATTATCGGTGATAAACCTTTCAGATCATCATGACTTACTGCTTTACTTCTGTTTCTAAATTCATTAAATAATTCTCCACACACTTCTTTCTGAACCATCAAAAAATTTTTACGCTTGGCGATGTCAAGTTCTTTGACCTTTAAACATCCTAGATGAACGGATACTTCATGACTCGGTGAACAAAGCACCATCAGAAATTCTATGAATCTTCTAAGCCAGGCTACGGCCCTGACTAATTTCAACCACTCGGAGTAATAAGAGAGAATAGGTGACATGTTTTGCTTTATACTACTCAAGTTAACCACAGCAGTTTTTCTAAACTCAATATCGTCAGGAGTAGGTTCCGGACAGTCAGTGATTGTTGTACAGAATTCGCCATGCAGTAAGGTAGGACATTTGAACCAAGATTCCAGATCAGTCATTTTTTGTATACCTCTTGATGTCCAATCAGCTGGATTCTGTGACGACTTTACATAATTCCATTGTTCAACCTTCGTATACTGGTGCACCACAGCGAGGCGGTTGGCTATATAGGTGCTATATCGGTTCTCAATATTCTTAATGTAGTATAACACTATCATGGAATCTGTATGGAAGTTTACTTTGCAGAAAAAATTAGGCAGACTTCTCCGTAATACTTCACTAAGCCTCACACTTAACACCGCTGCCGCCATCTCAAGTCTCGGTATAGTGACTTGTCTGATAGGTGCTACCCTAGACTTGCTGTACAACAAGATACAATATGGTGGCTCCTTCAAATAGCTGACTCGTGCGTACGCAACTGCTCCATAACCAACCTCTGAAGCATCACTGAACAAGTGCAATTCCACTTTCGCGTCGGGTTCGTCGATTCTCCTCTTGATACCTCGAGCTACCGTGACGTGACCTATCTGACGCATAAAACTTACCCAGCCTAGCCACGCGGACATGTATGGCTCGTTGAGAGGCTGATCCCAGCCTATTTGGGACCTACATAATTTTTGCAAGAGAAGTTTGGCAGTAAGACAGACTGGAGCAATTAGACCCAGAGGATCGAACAGAGAAGAAACTATAGATAGAATACCTCTCCTAGTCAGAGGCCTTTCCGGTGCATCAAAGTAAAACTTAAATACATCTTGTTTAAAATCCCATTCTACACCTAGGGTTCGATGAGTAGTGTCGTAATCCGTTGACATTTCTATCAAGGACTGTTCTTTACATACATCAGGCAAGATGGTCCTTACCTCCTCCGAGTTGGTAACCCATTTCTTTAGTTTGAAACCTCCTCTACATAATAATTCACTTATCTGCTTAACGAAACTCTTTGCTTGATCACAAGTGGGAAAAGATACCAAGCAATCATCAACATAGAAATTATTCTTAACAGCATCTACAACACAACCATCATAACCGTCAGAGAATATTTGGGCCGTCTTATTCAAGGCAAAGTTCGCGCAAAACGGCGATGATGTGGCACTAAATGGATGGGATGTCATTTGAAACTCGGATGGTTCTCTCGACATGTCTCCCTCCTGCCACCACAGAAATCTTGAAGCTCCTCGATCAGACTCAGGGACCTTCACTTGCATGAACATTTCTTCAACATCTGCAGGGATTGCAACTGCCTCCTTGCGAAAACTTATTAATATACACCTTAACTCAGCGGTGGTATCGGGTTCTTGATAAATCATATCATTTATGGAAACCCCTGCAAACTGTGCGGCACAACCAAGGATCACTCTAAGTTCTTCTGGTTTTTCCATGTTTAATACTGCATGATGAGGTAAATACCATCGAGGGCGATAATAAGACTGCAGATATATTTCAAAGACCCTCTCCGCATAAGTCTTAGTAAAATCACTTTCAATACTTTTGATATACCTGATGTGCAGACTGACATCCTTCGACAACATACCCTTCAAACTTGGTAATCTACGGTTTGCTACTTCATAATTATCCACTTTCATAT